TTAACAAAATTGTTTCACATTTCATTTAAAATGATTATATTTACATAGTTTATACATATACATACATATACATAAATTAAAGTATAAGTATAAAGAATAATTCAGTTTTAAGTATAAATCAGTTTTTGTTTTATAAGCAAACAAAGGGAACACAAATTAAAATTTGTAAAATTTAAGTCAACTTACAGAAACTCGTTATTAAGTGTGAGTCCTGAAACTACTCTTATAATTATATATATTTTACACTCTGATAATGACTTTGAACAAAGGGAGTTCAGTAGTCGCTTTACAAGTTGTAAAGTGCGTAAAGCACAAGTTAATAAAACACTCTACAGAAACTCGTTGTTTCTTAATTTTAATTTAATAGTGACTTTAAGAAAATGCAATTTTTTCCACATTTCCCAATGCAAACTTAACCAAGGTTTGAAGTTATATTTGGAATATATATATAAGTTCTTTAAACCACCTGTAATGCTTACACAATCACCGAGTAGCCCTACAGTTTCGTATCGGACTGTCCCGACAACTTTGTGCACACAAAGCTACGCTCATGTGGACGCGATTGTCTGTTTGTTTTTGGCCAATTCATCAGCCTCCCCCTTCGCAAGTTCAAGGCCCGGCCATAAAGGCACTAAAACAAAGATGTGTGCTTACATGGCCAGAATAGACCAAAGAACTTGTGTCTCCAGCATTCCAAGCAATTGAATTCCCATCGAAGTTCCGAAAGTTGTTTGCCAAATTGAATATTTTCGGACGTAGATTGATGGCGGGGAACTGATGACAAACTAGTCTCTGCATTTGCATAAACTTAATTGAACACATATAGTTATGGTGGTGGGTGCAGCCCACAATCCACATCTGAATTCCCATCTCCATGGGAAAGTAAACCGAATTTGGGACTATCTGCCAATCCGAAACCCGGAAATGGGCGTACTCAGTGAGGCGTGGCAAGAAGTCAGTTCCTCGAATATAGTTTAAATAGTAGTCGGTGAAGCCGAACGCCAGACCCGCCCATTATCTCTTCCTATTCACCTGATATTATACCCTACCATATTTCCATAGAGTGCCGAGTCATTCTAAGTGGGTAATATGGGGGTCTGTGTGTCTGGGGCTGGCCAACGTTGACTCAAGTCATTGACACGTCTATTTTGGGGCCAATGAATTCAGACTGAATTGATTTTAAGCGATTGGGGTCCAATCCGATCCGATCTGATCTGCATAAAGAGAGTAGTTTTAATGGGGCTCTGATTGGACGAGTTTTAATATAGAACTTACGGTTTTTCTTAGGTCAGGTTTGGTTCCAAAGAAAAGAACCCAAAGAAGTACTGGTATTCCTTAGAACTGCTGTATATAGAATACTCTTTCTCAAGTTACTGTAATATTATAAGTATTTGTGGGAATTCACAAAGTTGGTTATTGTTTTTTAAATAGACAAAACTAATGTACATTTTTGTTAGTCATATAATTAGTTTTATTTTCTTAATTACCCTATTACTAACTTTTAAATGTATTTCCTATTACAAAATATATTTAAAGTACGTAAATTTGTAAATAAGAATATAATTACATACCTTAAAAAACCGACCATTGCATCTTTCAGTTTATTAATAGCTTTATTTGAACTGTACTTAACATTGAAGTAGTTCCCTAGAAAGCATATCATTTACTAAGTAACCAAACACATCATCAATTAAAAACTGTGACTGGGAAGTACAGAGAATATTTCCATTAAGAGAATACATTTCGTATATCTACTTTCTGTTTCTACTTGTTCAATTATCATTGCGCGTTAGCAGATTCTTATTTAAATAAGACATTGAACAGTCTTAAAATTCAAGTATGGGTAATCAAATCAACAAATATCTTAAATGTATGCATAAATAATGATTCAGCAGCTTGCTGGAATATGCTAATCACACCGGTACGTAGTTCTATTTCTGAACTCTGTTGCCATTTAAGGGTCCAACCAGAATGTTCTCAACCCGAACTGGTTAAGATTTATTCTTTAGCGATATGGATTTTCTGCTGACCCATCTTCAGAGTGTAATACTTTTGTGGATTTTTTGGATTTTTTGGATTGCACTGCTTTGGATTGCTGTCTTCAGCAACTTCGCTGGCATGCCAAGGCTATATACTACTAACATATATATATACGCATGGCTATATCGTATAGGGGCTTGGCTCTTGCTGACAATCGGTTTATTTGGCAATCGGTTTTTGCTGAATTCTGTTAACTGATTTTAATTGTGGCGAAGACGGGCAACAACAACAAGTCCGAATTGGCAACCGGTTCAGGGTGATCTAATCAAAGGGTTTTCGGCTGATGGGTTTTTTCGGGTATCGGTTACCTGCCTCTATGTTTCTATTTCTATTTTCAAATCCCATTGGGCCAACAACACCTGTCGGCACGTCTGAGTGCGAAATCCGCGACGGGAGCTCCCTGGATTTTCGCCTTGGCTGTCTTAGGTATTGGCCAACTGGGCGACCGGGTCGAAGTCCAGTACGACCTTGACCCACCCAATAAGGCCATGTCGCCGTGTCTGGGGGCTGGCCAATGTTTTGGCTTGTTTTTGCCAAGTAAACACATTTGACATGGGCATTGGGAATGTGCCCATGCCAGAAAGACATACACTCAATATGGCTACCTGACCAAAAGTTTGCACAGCTCTCTTTGTGGACTTTAAATAACAATCATAAATTGAGCTTGTGCACAATTGAATAAGTAATTTTAATAAAAATATGTATTAATGTATCTATAAATTAATTTCCTCAAACGTTTTTCATCTGTTTAAGTTCCTTTAAAGTACTTAAACAATTTCTATTAGCTTGTATTTTTAAAATAATCTTGTTTCGACCGAATAATAAAAATTGTTATTTATCATTTATTAATCTTAATTTACCATGTATAACTTAAATTTTAGGTAAATACAATATTTTAAATCCTAACTGATATGGTATTAGAAAAAGCTTAGATCAACTGACTAACACTTATAGTCACAGCCTAAAAGTATTCAAAATAAACTGAGACAACTAAGCTTTTTCAACTGTATTGCAAAAAGCTCAAAAATAACTATAAGTAAAAATGAAATAGTTTGATAATATATTACATATTTTTCTTCTTTTCACTTCCCACTACAAATCTAATCAAATGCAAACTGCAAGGTGAAAGATAAGCAATCCATATAAAGCAACCTAGAAAATTGTTGGGATGAAAACAATGGAATTATCAGTGATTAACCTATTGACCTGTAATCAATCAATCTCGAACTTGAACTTTCCAATTTCAGATTGCAAAGTGCAGTCTATATTAATTTCAGTTTCCAAGTCGGTAAAGAACATGCTTTATATTTTAAGTTTTATACTTGAAATAATACCCTCTTTTATTATTTTACCAGATAAGATAGATTTAATCCAATCTTCCTTTTCAATTAGGTAATTTCAGTTAACTTGGAGTTGGATTGTATCCCTTCTTAATAACCTTTTTTTTATATTCTTAGAGATTATAAAAGATAGTTATCACACTATGAAAAAATGTGATCCAAAATGACTGGCAATTTACTTAGCTGGATAACAATATTTTGAACTTTGAGCTAAATAGTTTATTTTTCTGCATTATAAGATAAATTTCAACTTAAGACAAAATAAGGGTAATTTAATGATAAGATTTTATACTGAGGGGGTGTTCAAAACAACCAGTTTTAGCACTTTTATTTATTTATATGTACTATATAGTATATATGTGCCTATAAAATCCACATATTCTATGTGGGTCACCGTCAACCTCGTAGTTGCTGTTCGTACGACTGTCGTTGTAATAGAACTCGTTTTTGGGTCTGGCCAATCCAATGAGAACAACCGACACGTTCCACGGGATCCTCAAATTGGCGATCGTTTCACTACACCTGATCGAGCGTATGCACACCTTTAAAGATAGAATTCAATTGCAACACGTACTTTTAATTCCTTCCTCGGCGTTTTTACTTGCTTATCACACGCAAAATAAAGCATTTATTGAACTTGATATTATTGTGAACTTATTCTTATCATATAAAGTCTTCATTCCAACATAAACTAAGAAAATAACTTAAGATTGTTATGCACATTTAAATATCATATTATATAAGAAGTCAATATTTAAGGAAAGAACTTAAAATTCGCCTTACATATTTCCAGCTCATATTTCTTTTACATTTAAAAATTTACCCTTATATATTTTTTTAGAAAATTGTTCTTTTCAGCACTCTTTTTAAATGCCAATTCTTAGATAAGAAAACATTTAGGGCTAAATGTTGATGATTTTTTATTTTGTTTGACGTCATAATCTAGTTTAAAGCACTTGGAAACTTTTGTTTATTACCCGGTTATTTTTCAGTTTGGGTGTGTACTTTGAGCTATTAATCAGATTGCCTACGCAATAGTCTTGCTGTTTTTAGGTCAAAAAGTGGTCCGATCTAAGCTAGTTGGTTGACGAAATACTATTGGAAAATATCAAACAAAATCCATTAATGCAAATAATAAATATAAATATATTTATGCATTGTATTTTATGAATGTTGCTTTGGCTAAAATTCGTGTTTAAAGGATGGGTTACAAATATAAAGTAATTATGAAAGAAAATCTCCATTAAATTTTCATTGAACATTGTTATGGCTTTTCTAACTATTTGGTTTTTGGTTACTGTTCTTGCATTAAGCTGGGTCTATTTTGTCTTGGGTTAACATAAACAACTGATATTTAGAGCATCTTTCCGCAATTAGAGACGCACTTCCGCTGGGTTTTTTCCTGGAAGAGCCTTATCTATCGGCGGAGGGCATCAAGAGTTGCCCCACCTTGACGATCGACGATCTGCTATCTGGTGAGACCCAGAGCTCGGACCATAAACCATCAACCACATACCCCGGACCCCCAATTCCAACAGCTGCGATCCGAGTGCGCATTAATGGCAAAGCGAGCAGCAACGCAGAGCGGTTCGCAAACTTTAAGTTCGCAAACTAGTCATTCAGTAACGCAAGATCGCTCGTCACATCAACAGGTTGATTCTTGATTATATAGTCGTCGTTGTTTGGGGTCGTTGAGCGAGTACAAAGCTGAAATCGGTTGCGAAATGAGCACCCTGGCACTGCTGGCATTCGTGCTTTGGGCACTTTTCCTGCGATATCTGCCGAATATCCTGAATTTCCTGAGGCTTCAGAGATTCGCTAAGACATTGCCGGGTCCCACGATTGGCGAGCTGATTGCCAATGTAAAGAAAGGGGGTGAGTTTGTTGCCAAATCTCCAGTCAAAAAGGCCGTGAAAAAATGCATACATTTTATCACGCATACGCAGCGTTGACCTTGCTGGCGTACTTGATTTACATGTGCAGTGCATAGCGTTGTTATCTCGACATGCAACAATTGTTGATTCTTCTATGAATGCAGTTTCTTTATAATTATTATTAAATATTTTAATAGCTGGGTAACAAAAGTGAAATAAGATTTATTATTTACAAAGCAATATAAAAATGTATTTTGTTGTTGAATAACAGTTTTTATTTATGCTAAATGAATATTTATGGTGCTTAAAGTAAAAGTAAAATGAAAAAACAAAAATGTTTAATTTTACCTCATAAACAAAAGACTATGCCACATTTAAATTGTAAATATTTTGCCAATTCATCCACATTAACTTAAAGTTGGCAATTTTATGCTGTTTTTAAAATTACGCATAATCTTGCTGATATTAAAGCCTCTCAAACCTGTTCCAGTTTTCGCAGAAAATTTCAGTGACAAGTTCGCTTTCAATTTACCTAATAACAATAACTAATTTGTATTAAATTATGTTTTAGTATATGGTTTCTAGTTGTTTAAAGATAAATTGCCTACCTTAAGAAATGGCTTCCAAAGACTAAAGTCCCGCATCCTCTGATTTTACCCAGAGATCCTTAACTGGCTGAAGGAGCTGAGGCAGCAGCATGGCTCGGTCTTCCGCATTTGGTTCGGCAAGGATCTGATGGTGATGTTCACGGATCCGGAGGACATCAAGCAGCTGCTGGGCAACAACCACCTGCTGACCAAGTCGCGGAACTACGAGTTGCTTGAGCCCTGGCTGGGCAAGGGATTGCTCACGAATGGAGGCGAGTCCTGGCACCGTCGCCGCAAGCTGCTCACTCCGGGCTTTCACTTCCGCATCCTGGGCGAGTTCAAGGAGCCCATGGAGGAGAACTGCCGCATCCTGGTGAACCGGCTGAAAACACGGGCCGATGGCGAGTCTTTCGACATCTACCCCTACATCACCCTGTTCGCCTTGGACGCCATCTGCGAAACGGCCATGGGAATCAAGAAGCACGCCCAGCTGCAGAGCGACTCGGATTATGTCCAAGCTGTCCAAACGTAAGTACAGATACAAAATTTTGATTATTCGTATGTTTCTTATTATGTATGATTGCTATTTGAAGCAGGGGAAATAGCTGGTCTAGAAAGTGTAATTGAAAAGCCAAACAAATTGGTAATAAAACAAAAAAGCACTTTAAAACTTACTATAACTATTTCTATAAAACCCTTTTGTTTTTGGTAAATAGTTTGTTGCTTTTGTACTGGACAAAATATAAAGATTTTATGTGTGAATTTACACACACTTTCCTTAATACTCTTGTTAATATTTTTCAGATAAAACATATTACATTTTTGCTGCATTATATTTCAATGTTTATCAACGTTTTTTCTTATTAGAAAAATGGGTGTTTTCCTTCATTTATTTCCTCCTTTTTCATTCATGTTTTTATTTTCTGTTTTTTTATGTTGTAACACAAAAATGAAAAATTCACAAGGAAGTATTTATTTATTTGGCTAAAATTTTCAAAGAAATTTAATTTTGTACCTGCTAAGTTAAGTCTATCTTTATTTTCTTCAAAATAGTTTTTTATGTTAATTAATATTTAATTAAGATGTATATGTATATATTTTTTTAATTCAAATATATATATATGTATTATTTGTATTTATATTTGAATTTGTATTTATATTTGAATTTGTATTTATATTTGAATTTGTATTTTTACCCACAGCATCTGTCGGGTGATGCACAAGCAGAGCTTCTCGTTCTGGCAGCGCCTGAACGTGTTCTTCAAGCACTCGAAGGCCGGAAAGGAGCGGGATGGGGCCCTGAAGGTGCTCCACGACGAGACGAACCGGGTGATCCGGCTGCGCAGGGAGCAGCTGATCCAGGAGCGCAGCGAATCCCGGCCAGAGGCGGAGCAGCACGTGGACGACGTGGGCGTCAAGCGGCGACTGGCCTTCCTCGACATGCTGCTCCTCGCCCAAATGGAAGGCGGCGGCGGCGGGGTGGAGCTGAGCGACACGGACATCCGCGAGGAGGTGGACACCTTCATGTTCGAGGGCCACGACACCACCAGCTCGGCCATCGCCTTCGCCCTCAGTCTGCTGTCCAAGCATCCGGCCGTCCAGCAGCGGGCCTTCGAGGAGGCCAGCGAACTGGAGGGCAGGGAGAAGGAATCGATGCCCTATCTGGAGGCGGTGATCAAGGAGACGCTGCGCATCTATCCCTCCGTCCCCTTCTTCTCGCGCAAGGTCCTCGAGGATCTGCCGGTGGGCAAACTGACGGTGCCCAAGGGCGCCTCCATCAGCTGCCTCATCTACATGCTCCACCGCGATCCCAACAACTTTCCCGATCCAGAGCGCTTCGATCCCGACCGCTTCCTGCTCAACGAGAAGCAAATGCATCCGTTCGCCTTCGCCGCTTTCAGCGCGGGTCCCAGGAATTGCATAGGTAAGATCACTCAGTAGAAATCGTTGTGTTATCATATAAATACCTGGAAATATCCCTAGATTATTATTATTATTATTATTTGCCTTTAAATCATTATAAATAATCAAGAAAAGATAAGATAGTATAATTATATATGTATTATATATAAATGCCATTCAATGCTAAAATATCTTAGGGCTAGCAATCTTCTACTAGTACTTCGAAGATCACCAAAAAATTCCCCAATTAGATGCACCTCAAAAATCATTCGCAAATTTATGCGTACAGTTCACTTTTGCAAAATTCGATAGATAAGGTTCCATAACAATTAGAATACAGGTCTATTTAGTCAACACGTCTATGAGATAATCGCTTTTAATGCTATTTATACAGTCTGTTTTGTTTCCAAGAATAGCCAGCGGAAAAATATCATTGAACCTGAACCCAAAAATAGATTTAGCAAGTCGCGATTTCATTTTTCAAATTTATATGGTGCAAATTCAGTCCAAGGTTGTATTCCACAATATATTTATATATTTAAATGATTGATAAGGACGACATGTTTTTCGATTTCTGGGCTCCTAATTCACAAATGCTCAAATTCAGTTAAATTTAAGTGTATTTATAATTTGAATAATGAAAAATATCTTACAGTGCTGATAAGCTTGGGATACTAAAATTTGTTTAGTACTAGTTTAGTTAAGTAAAAGCACATTTAAATATCAAAAAGATACTCATGATGATTTATATTTTGAACTAGTTGTGGTAGTTTGTAATAATAATGACCTGTTGTTTATTTTGAATTTATTTATTGTAATCAAGCACTATAAATAAGTAAACATCTGTCTATTTAGTTCAATCACTTAGTTGTCAGGAATCAAAGTTCAATACCATCGGATTCAATTTAGAAAAGCACTTTGCAGTTAAATATAAGCTTAATTTTCGGGCACATCTAGTACCTACCAGTTCTAATTACCTTTTAAATGTTTTTTCAACCATTTAGGCCAGAAGTTTGCCATGCTGGAACTGAAGACCTCGCTGTCGATGCTGCTGAGGAGCTATCGCTTTTTGCCCGATGAGGATCACCAGCCGAAGCCGTTGGCCGAATTGGTGACTAAGAGTGGCAATGGAATCAGACTTCGGATTCTGCCGCGTGACGAGAACGTCAGCTCAGCATAATGCCATTATCTCAACATAATTTATAGTTCGTAGGCCCCATCATGTCTAGATTAAGTGGAGTGTAGTAAACAATTGAAAACATCCGTTGGGGGTCTTTTTGTTATCACTTGCGAGACCCTGCTGCCATAATATAGATTATATAGACTTGGATTACTTTTTAATTTTTTTGTTGCTTTGTTTATTTTTTGCTTTGAACTTTGAAAAATACAATCGATCATATACATATATACACGATTAGAGAGGTATATATATATGTGTGCATGTATATAGGTGCTGGGCTTTATTTATGGTTAACATCCAGAACCAGCAAACAAAAAAATAGTTATATGTTTATGTTTATGTATATGTATATGTATATATATTTATTGTGTGTATGCCGATAGCTCCCTCCCTTTCCCTCTCCCTACAAACTACATACACAGACATTACTTATTGCTCTCTTCCGAGTTTCCGTTAGCCCAAAACTCCATATCGTCCGTGCTCGTATTCCCTGACAATTCCTTAATCTACGGTTCCGATCCCATACGATCTCGACTCGGGATCCTTTGCCCTCACTTGATTTCTTGTACAACTAGTTAAATTCCTTTACCACAAATATATATATATTTATTTTTTTTACTTTTGTTAGATGCATGTATGATCGTAGTTATCTGGTAGTTATTCACATATATTTTTGTTTATTTTATTTTATTTTGTTTTGGATTTAGTTTGTATGGTATACTATAATCCCTAACTAGATTGCCTTCAATTTCCGTTTGTGTTTCGTTTGTTGTGCCCTTTACTGGGCCCACAATGAAGTCAAGTCCCGATTTGTATATATAATATATATGTCATTTTCTATATAGGTAAGTGTAAGCGAGTTCCTTTCTTTTGTTTTTTGTTTGGCGCTTCTGCCTTAAAGCTTAGCAGGAAACAATTCGTCTAGGGGCTTAGTTAGAGGCGGCTAATGATATGATTTGGCTAGAATAAGATTCGGTAAATACAGCTCAAATACCATACATATATATAGCATAACTGGGGCTTTCGGGATCCTTGCACTAGAAGAGGAAGGCTGGGGAATACTGCAACTTTGGCTATAATGTTTTTTAGGCAATATCTAACCCGCATTCTTTTTTACTACGTTTATACGCAGGATAAACTATTTAATCTGCTAACATTACTGATTAGTAGACATCCTATATTTACAAATAGACAGCAAAACGTTGCTATTCTCTAACTTAACTTGTTCACAAATTTTGAACCTTAAAGGTAATATATATATATATATGTTTATACTTCAAGTTGATTGATTTTTAACTAGTACAGGCGAACTTCTCTTAGTTAACTTCTTACACAATTTAATTATTGTAAAATTACTGGATTCCAAGGAAGATTTAAGTTTTTAAGTTCTTTAGAAAACTTAAAAATGCTTGAAAGCTGATGACGAATGACTTTTGAAAATTCCAATTAAAGTTTATGTGGAACATAAGGTTAATGAAGTTTAACAGCTATATTTCAAAATTATGTTTTTGAAAAGCTTACATTATCGAATAATTTTATATTTAGTTTCGAGACCTTTTGAAAGCTTTGTATTTTAAAGTCAATTTTTGCTTTGTTAGTTATGGTATTATATAGAAGCACTTTTCAAAAATATCTTTTAAAATGTTTTTAAATTATTTCGTATTTTTTGTTGGCTTTGGAAGTTTTTAAGAATTTTGTTTTAGAAGTTCGCTGTATTTATATCGAGCGCATAAAGGTGGTAATGTTTCTAGTTTCTGGCTGTCTTTGGTAAATGCAGGGATCCGGAAAGCCCCATACTAATGGATAGATAGCTTCTATGGCATCTATGGCCAGGTGAACCGCTTTAATCGGGCGACTGCCGGGATCACAGCCAGGGTATGCAGATGGTGCGGCAGACGTCGCGTCGATGGGGATGTGGATGCGGCTCCTCGCCCATCTGTCCACCGCCGCCGCCGCCGCCGCCACCTGCCCCAGGATTAGCCCCACCTCCACCGCCTCCGCCACCTCCTCCTCCTCCTCCGCCGCCTCCAAACTTGAAGAACGAACTCCTTCGTCAGTGCTTGCGATGGGCCTGCGGTGAAGCGCTGGCAATGGAGCCCGATGCCGAACCGGAGCCGGAACTGGAGCCGGAAATCGAACCCGACCCCGACCCGGACCCGGACCCAAATCCGGGCTCAGCCTCCGGCATGGACTGCAGCACAGCGGCGACGCTGCCGTGGCTGGCGCGCTGCTGCGACTGCGAATGCCCGGGATGATTGGAGGCGGACGACGACGACGACGACGATGACGACGATGACAAAGTGGACGCCCTGGCCAGTCCACTGTGCCGCTTGGGGATCACAAAAGGCGGCGGCGGCTGCGGCGTGTACTGCGGCGGCGTGGAGTTCGCCGATGCCTGGCGGACAAACGACCTGGCCGCCGGCACCGAACCGCTCCGGGCAATCGCCCCAGTGCGCGGCGGTATGGCCGGCGGCGGTCCGGGTGGTGCGGTCATTGGTGTCCTGATCTTCGGCGGCGGGGACGAGATCGAGGCCAGACTCTCTGTGGATGGTTGCGATGGAACACGCGGCGGCAATTGCGGCAGCTTGCCGGGATTTGGTGTGCTTGTGGGTGCGGGTGTGGATGTGGGTGTGGAATTAGGAACTGAAACTGAAACGGACACTGAAACTGGCACTGGCACTGGAACCGCCGAAGCGGTTGCCACTTGGACGGGCATCCTGGCCTGTGGCTGCACCGTGGACATGGTGATGGTGGGCTTCTGCATAGGCACCGTGTGGCGTATGGAGATGCTGCCCGCCTGGGATTTGCCACTCATCCGGCCGGGATTGGCCTGTGCCGCTGGAGCACTGGTTGCGGGCACTGGCGGTGCTGCAACAGCCTGATGTTGCTGCTGCTGCTGTGGATGCTGCTGCTGTGGATGCTGCTGCTGCTGTTGCTGTTGCTGGTGCTTCTGCTTTTGCTGGGCATGGATGTCCTGGATTTGCGGCGTGATAACCACAGGATTCTTCTTTTGATCCTGACCGGCGGCCACGTAGGAGAAAACGCACAGCACCGAGTAGCATATCTGATCGGACTACGGAGCGTATACGTTATTTGAAATAGCTGCTGCACATGGCCATTTTCTTGTCTTCAAAATGAACAGTGTTTTTTTGGGCGGTGTTGAAGTGAATTATGTGGACTTTTTGGGTGGTTTTTCTTTGGGGTGGACGGTGCTTGCACAACACAACAAGGCAAAATAGCAGAAGAAAAAGAGCATGCAATTCGCAACATTTGAAGTGGAACGACAACAACCAAAACTCAAGTGAAAATATAGGAAAACAAATGCAAAATATATGATGGTAACAAAAAAAGGTCACAAAAAGTCTAAACCAAAGAACAATTTTTTGTTGTTTATGTTTTGATTGTTGTTGTGGTGGTATTTCTTTTCTTTTTAAGATGTTGCAGGAAGTACATACATACATAGGAGTTACATAAAAAGGATTCTTGATTTTATTTACATAGATTTCATTTTAGGCACATTATTTATTCGCGCTCCCCAGCTGAGGTTGATCCATCTTCCAGCGTTTCCTTGGGCCTAAGCATCTCCGCCGATTTCATCGTTCCAGCAATGCTTTTGTCGGTGACTGTACCTCGGACGCCATTCAGATGACAGATGTAGGCAAACTGCACGGAGGTCACGCGATGAAAGCTCAGGACAATTTCCGACGCCTTAGGTTTCAATTACACATTTTGGTTTTTCGGTTTCAGTTTTAAATTGGTGAAGGTTATTTTTCGGTGTAGTTTTTTATTTTTTATTATTAGATGATATATGAGTGGTGTTATTGGTGTTTTGTGTGTTGTTGTTGCAGGCATTGTTTGTTGTTGAGTAGTTGAGTTGTTGTTGACATAGAAATATATTCACAAAAAACGAATGCAACGAACCAAATGGAAAACGGAAACGGAAAGAAAGGAAAATCGAAAATCAAAGAGATTATCTCAATATCGTACATACAAACTGTCGGTGCAATTGAATGTGCCATATCATACAGTGGAAAAAAACTTTCTGGAATCTCCATATAGATATGTTTATACAAATATATAGAGATGGGTTTTTGGGGGTCACAATTGATTTGTACAGAAATTTGCATAACTCGGCAGGCTTAAGCAAGTTTATGTACAGTAAATCGATAAACGATAGTTCCGGAACGGAACGGGATGCAACTCGGAACAAGTGGTGAACAGTGCTTGATGGCTATGGTGGCGATCAGTGGTGGAATTAAGGTTTAATTACAGTACTCACCATGCTTGACTGGTACTTCCGCTGGATGAGATTGCGCGTCTTGGGATCTGCAAGTTCGGAAAATAGAATGGAGTTAATTAAGGTCAAGGTACAGCAGTAAGCCACTGGCTAACACAGTACTTACTGTACTCCTCCAGCACAAAGATACCGCCCTTCTGGGTGAAGCACTTGCGGATATGGTCCAATCGCACGAAGAACTGAAATTACGTGCGGAGAACAGAGTTAGTTAGGCTTCAATGCCAAATGACACCTTCATTCTTTCTTCGGCTTCAAGGCTCCATCACGGAACGAAACGCAAGAATGGAAAATAACGGAAGGGGAAACGGAACGGAACTAAATCAAGCAAAACGCAACGCAACTAAAGGGAACGATAACGGAATGCAAATCATAAGGCGGTTCAACCAAAAAGCTTTCACACAGAACGCTGTTCAACAGAGGAAGAGACTGGTTGATAGGCAGAGCGGGAGTTAGAGAGAAATAGTTGAAGAAGATAGCGTATACGCGTGGGCAATAATGTGTAATAAATTAAAGCAGTGGGGAGTTTTCTTCGGATTCTTCAAGTAGTTTTTTTTTTTTTTAATATTTTGGTGTATGGCCAAAAGTACAGTTACCAACCCAACTAAACGAAACGGTACGGAATTGGAACATAAGCAGGCAGGCGGGCAGGCAAACAAAAGCTAAATGCTACGCAAGCGCTTGGGTCACACATATTGATCTATTTAGGGCGGGCAGCAAGACAAGGACACCTAGTAAAGTTGACGACATTCATTTATGTACACAGCACCCATCAGGTGTTTCCGCAGT